TGGATTTTATGATCGGACTACCCAAACATAGAGGTAAAAAGACTCTATCATGGTTGTTTTATATTATTGATTTTCAAATAGCATATTTCATTCCATGCCAAAAGACAAATGACATAATTCAAGTTGTAATTTGTACTTTAAAGAAATTGTTATCTTCATGGCATTCTCAAGTCTATTATCTTTAATCGTAATGTTATGTTTCTTAACCACTTTTGGAGAACATATAGAAGAAAATGAAAACTAAGATTCAATTTAGTAGTAAAAGTCATCCCAGACAAATGGCCAAATTGAAGCTATAAATAGAATTCTTGATCATCTCCTTTACAGTTTTTTTGGGAAAAATTTGAAGTAATGGAATCTTATTCTTACTCAAGTTGAATTTGCTCATAACAATTCTGTCAACCATATGAAGCTGTGTATGGCACCCATCCTCTTAGCCCACTTGGTTTGACTCCTTACTTGATAAGCAATACTATAGTTCTTATGCAAATCAAAGGGCTAAAGAAATGAATAAAAATTGCATGAACAAGTTTGTGACCAATCCAAAAGAAGAATTTGTCATCTAGAGTTGATGGACCATTCAAGATTATACAAAAGATCAATAAAATACATTAAAGTTGAATTGCCTTGTGCTTATGATGTTTCTGCTACTTCAATGCTACTGATCTATCTTAATATTTGTTGATAATGATGTTAAATTTGACTTAAGGGGCGGTCACATCTAACTCGAGGAAGATGAAATAGAAAAATCTCATAGAATTCCAGAAACTTAATTTTGCCTCTCCATGAATTCTAATAACACTTTCATTATTACATAATTCTTTATGAATTCTCATGACCCTCATAAATTGTGTAACTCCTATTTAGTTTTAATGTTATTGTTTGAAATTTGACTCTAGGAATTAGTATAAATAAGGCCTCACTCCTTGTACTTCATCATTGAAGAATTGAATTTGAGCATTCTTAAAGTGAAAGTTCTCCCTCTTGAGTTTTTATACCATATACTCCTTCCATTTAGTATTACTCTCTTCGAATCACAAGATAATATATCTTATAGAGCTCTACTTAGTCTAAAAGCATAGGACATTATGTAATTTTTATAATTATTTTTTCAACTATACACATATTTCATTATTACTCTTTTAAAAAAAAATGAGGCATTAGAATTTCAATTATCATTAATAAAAACTTATATATGATATTAATAAGAGTATAATTAAAAAGATATAATTATTTATTCTCTTTGATTTTAATATAAGACAAAGTTACAAAACTGCATCTTTTATTAAGAATCAAAGTAGTACTTATTTACTCTTATTTAATGAGACAACAGTATATGTTTGTGATATTTCAATTCAAAAAAAACTTTGCTTATTACACTCTTAATGAGGATATTTAAAAAAAATTATTGATCACATGTTAAAGACCTAAAATGTCTTATGTATTGAACATAATACTTTAACAAAAGGTCTATAAAACTAAAGGGATGGGATGGTTGGATCATAAGTTGTTGCAATAGGATAGCTAAGTGGAAATTAATTTTATAAGGTATAAGTGGGACACAGTGATGAGCTACAGTGAGACGCGTTAAGGAGACATTGAAAGGGAATTCTGATTCTTGATTCGGCAAATATGTGCATATGAATTCAATGCCATTTTCTTTATTGATTTCGTTATATTCCCACCTTGCATCTATGGGACTACTTTCAATCATACCACCAGTTTTTCTTTCAAGTCATTTGGTACTCTCTTTGTTCATCATTACTAATTCGAAGTTATATTGTCGGTAAACAAAAACCTGTTCAACCTCACCATCGTGTTAAGATTTCATCGCTTATCCTTTTTTCTTCTACCACCACTCAACTAATATTCATCTGCATCAGACTTTTTTCCCATGTAAAGCAATCCGTGTGTTATACATAACTACTACCACCTTCGTGTTTTTATCTTATTTAAGGTTTTACACCCTTCGAAATATTTAATTATTAAATAAACTTTTCAAATTTCTAATACACTCTTATTTTATTTTGTCTATCTCTTTCCCTGTATAATATACCCATGATTAAAGTTCCTGAAAATAAGAATATAGCAATTGAAGAAAATATTTTTACCCCTCCCTCGGGGTGCCCTTCATCCTCCCGCATTCTAGGGATTGCCACCACTTCCCTCCCACCCAACATTTTTCCTTATTAAATTTTTTTTTTGGTGTCGGGTAAAATAGACTTTTTACTAGTACATATTTTATTGACAGAACTATAATCATGTCTCGCATATAAAAAAAATCTCAATATTTACATGTCAGGCTTTCGTATTCTTTGCTATAGAAAAGGAGTAAACTTTCTTATGCGATATATAATGGGGCTATCCTAATTTTTTGACAGTGAATAAATAAATAGTTAAGTATAGCTTACAAAAGTTAGTAATTAGACTCATACGACACAGGGATTTTAATTAGTTCAAATCTTATTACTGATTTGATAAGGACAACATTAATGGATAATTGTAAGTGCTTTTTAAGTAGTGATGCACTGATGCTTGTCTTAACATGAACAAGCACCTCATTTACTCGATTATTTTGTTTATGAAAGACCAAATGCTAATCTATATAGAGATTACACTTTATTTGCATGCGATGATGCAGAAAGGCACGCTTAATGTAAACTCCTAAAATGCAATGTGATAATTAATTTTCAAATATGAAAATCGGGGATTTGACTAATTTTTCTCTCTGTGCTGGAAAGTTTTGACTTCGATGCTTACATCACTCATTGACCAAGTTTGAAACAAGGGCGATTTTGAGAATGTGGGATGTGTTTCAGTCAAAGCACCAAAGTGTGACATGAGTTGATAATGATTAAAAATTACAATAAGGGAAGAAGAGGGTATGGCATGAAGGTTGAAATGAGAAAGGTGACGCAGGGGATAAGGGAGGCATAGTGCGTGGGAAGCAACCTGGCTATTATGGTCATCCATTCCAATAATTTCATCCACTTTAATTCTCTCTCGTGGGTTTCACCGCTTCCACTGTTTTTGTGCTTCTTTATTTCCCCACTGGCTCACTCAATCCTTCACATTTATCCTCCTTTTTTCCCTTCACAATTTCCATCTACATAATTCATTTTAAAATTTGATCCCACTATCAACAATTCTAATCGTCATGATAGTGTCCATCGGTCTATATGTGCCCCATTAACATGTTAAGGATGTCAAGTGTAAGTTGACTTGACTTGGTATTGAGACAATTGAACAAGTCCTGCATCAAATGAAGTGAGGCTAGAAAAGAGGTATATATAAATTTTCAATGTCTTAAAATTTTAAATATTGTGTAGCACACATTTATGTATGGGTCTTTGGAAATTGTTAGGGGGCCAACTGTGTTCTCCTTACTTCCGAACTGCTACTAGGCACAACAAAACATGCCCTGATGCTCTCCTTGAAATTTTGATTTGAACAATTGACTTGTAGCAACTACAACAAATTACTTTAATTTGGACAAACCATTTCAAACACCCACTAATAAGTCCTATGAACACCTTATTCAGTGTCTGACCGAGCCTGATATGCTTGTGCAACCAAATTTCTTAGGTAAGGCCGCATAATCTATCAGAGTACGTAGGACTAATTGAACATCATTGATTCCATTCCAAATCTATTCAGTGCTATATATATTTAGAAAATATAATTTTGAAATTGATGTGGAGGAATTATTGGGAAGGATTTTGGCGATTATGATAGAAGAGGTAGGCATGAAAACGATAGAATTAGCTTCAGTATATGATGGATTTGACATGACTTTGGGGGAACTCTTCTCTCCCTGCGCGCTTTGCATTTTGCTGATATGCGCCATGAAACTTGAAAAGCGACACCGGCATTACTTCTGTTCGTTCTATTTTCATGAGGTTCTTGTTTTCGTATGTTATATTAAATATTGTGGCTTTCCTTTCTGGCGGAAACAATCATTTGGCTAACTTTTCGCTATTTGTTCCAAAACAAAAAGTTTCTGTGTTTGGGCGTTGAGATGGTCCCCCTTCGATGCTATAATGTAATACAAGTTGTACCTCCTCTGGCGGTACAAAACCCTGTGCCCTCACAGTGCAAACCCTGACATGTTTATTTATTTTCCTCCTCAGCTTCGCGTTTTTGAGTGGTTCCTATGGGTTCCACGGAGGCCACCCCACTGCTACTGGATTACCACCCCCTTTTTGTTATTCACTCAACTAGTAAATGTATATTGTACACACGTAGTAGTAAAAAGATAATATTTTTACTCTCAAGGCTGAAATTTGTAAATCCTTCTACTTCCTTATATATTAATTATAAAACTCAACTTTATTTAAGATTTTTTTTTTTTAATCAACTCAAATCTACCCACCGTTGAACACCCGGGAAAGAATAGGACATCGTTGGGTTAAGGAGAGCCAGAAAGGGTGTGGCAGCTGGCAATGATTGAAATGAACGGGGGAGAACAGGCTGGTGGAGAATTTCGGGATGCAGAGAGGGGAGCAACCGAAACTGTTGGGAATTGTCGTCATCAAAAGCAAAATAGTCAAACCCAGCCGTACTATATCCTCTTCCTGGGGTGGGCCCCGAATAATCCGACATTATCTTTCCATCCTGCTTCGTCCCTCTCTTGCATCCCGCGCCATTACCGGATCTCAGCGCCCATCCCTATCATTCTCATTTCTACTTATTTTCCTTAGTCCTTACCATTCATCTTTTTATAAGGGCAGTCCTACTCGACATCTTTCTTCACTTGTTCAACAATTTCTTGCATGATCACTTAGCCCACTCCCCAGGCACGTTCAAGGCTGCGGCCCATTCCATGATTCCAAAGCCCATATTTCAAACTTCCAAACTCCATCCTCATTTCAGGTGCCAACCATAACCAACCCTTGGTGGAAAACAACAGATGGAGGAATGCAGGTTGACGAGAAATGATTAAGGATTCGGAAGGAATATGCCTAGCTTTAAATTCCCATAAACTCACCACCAGATCATCCTTTTAAGACCAGACAAAGCATGTTTCATTCAAATTTTGTATTGTTTGCCACAATAAACAATTCCCTCCTCATAAATTTGCAAAACAAAGAGAACGCACATAATCTCGTCCCTTTCCCCCATCTCGCACATAATTTTTTTCCCACTTCCAAGCCGGGCAGCTTCCCAAGTTACAAGCACCTTCTACTTGTCTGAAGCGCAGAGATTAGTTGCCATCATGAATCAAGAATATTGATACTTGCATAGGAATCTACAAGAGATGGAATAGCAGCTCATTCCACACATCAGGTACGCCTGGCAGGCACCAATGTATGCAATCCGAGTAAGATGGAGGATTTGACAGTTGTTCGGGTCGCAAGGGCTCCCAAAACTTCCGGAAGATTGATGGGTGGCCGTCCTTTCTGTACTCTGACAGCTGCGTTATGTTGAGGACAGAAACTTTAGAGCTCAACCTGCCCAGGATATTCTCCACCATGCGCATTGTTGGCAAATCGGAACCACTTCCCAATATCCCTCAACATCGATGGGCTTCTTCTCCCCGTAACAGTTTCCCTCACTTTCTGGCTTCCACTCTCTGCTCCTGAATAAGATTAGAGCTCAACTCAATCAGATATGTAGTGCAAAACTTGTGTTTGTTACCAGCAAAGATAATAGTCAAAACTTGAAAGACCAAATGAAGAACAGTATTGCATTACAAATTTACAGTATGACGTGGGATATTTTCATTTTTACTCTGCAATTATCATTGTTTGTATTAAGGTCAAGGATATCCTTGGGAATCAATCAGGCAAAGTTCTTTGTCGGGTAATCTCAACGTCACCCTTCCCAATATCGGCTCACTGATATTTTATTCTTAGATGCTTGTATGATAATCGAATCCAAGTTGACCAGAAGAGATATTATCTCCTTTTATCAACCAAGTTAACTCCTTTGGATCCCATCAAGAATCATAACTGAACTCTCATCCCATAACTCACCAAGTAGTTGTCTTGTCACGTGTTACACTAACTGTGTTCAGATAGACGCTTTAGTAAAACTCTACCCATAGGATAATAGTTCAAAAACCAAGTATTCCACTTCACAGAATCATTCTAAACAATTCTCTATCCAACAACAAAATGGCCATTGCACAAGCTAGTTGGACTTGCTTACCATAATGTACTCTAGGTGAAAGAGGGGGGCAGCCTGATTCTCATCAATGAGAAAGTTAGTTCCAGAAAACCCTGAAGAGAATTTCTTTGAATAAGAATATAAATAAAATCACACCATGAATTAAGTAGGGAGTTGTGACACTGGAAAATTTCATGAGAGATTCATTCAGGAAGCCAAGGGAGGGGGATCCGGTCTGCCAATACCTTGGTCACTAATCATAACCAACCATAACACGGAGCCTACATTGGACTATCGATAATGAAGCAACCTTGATGGTCATTTACGTAAGTGTAGCTATCAATTTCTTCAATAGAAGCTTAACAACGGAGGAGCTTGGGTGAAGGATCAGTATTGTGGTGTTGAGTATGAAAAATGTTCACATGTTATACTGTATTTTCATTAGAGAACTTGGAAACACTTAACAGCCACCTAATGAATTAAAACAGTGAGTTATCTAATGAACATTAGCTCAGCTCGAATGTGGCCCAAAGTTTGCTTCGAAGTATGAAAATTGGTATAGATAATTCCTGCAATGGTACTAACTCTAAAACACAATCAGATATAAGGTAAGTGCTCACCAAAGATGTGTCGGGGACATGGTCACAAAGAAAACCCGCTTCTTAAGTGGATCAACTTTAGAAGATACCCAGTCTGCCCAGGCTCCCATAGCCAACTCCATGGCTCCTAAACCATCTAATTCTTCACAGACCCCCTTTTCTGCATCAGTCCATCTGCAGAAGCACATAAGACAATTAGACGACAGTGGAAAGATCTTGTGATTCCATTCATATATTGATGTATAAACACTGACAATAGCTTGACTGGGCCTTGTCTCCACCACAAGTAAGTGTTGAAAACAAGTATATCAGCACTCTCAAACCGTGATGCGTGCTTAAGAACAGAATCTGGACGAATTATCCGATCATTTAATCTGTGATTTACAGGATCATCAGAATTAGATTCAACAAGCAATGGAGCCCAGAGGAATTCCACAGTAGCATTGTACTCCTGCAAATGAGAGATAAATAACAGGACAATGATGTTAATGGGATTTTCAGCTATTAGTTCAATTGATAAGCGAAACATACCCATAAGCTCAAAATCTTAGACCATCACATGGCATAACGATAAGATAGAAAAGTAAACTGGTCATTGAAAAAATGGAGGAACACTAAATTAATATGAAGGCACATATATATTATGGTAACTACAATTGGCGAAACTTTTTTGCTGACCTCTGCTCGGAAAATTGTCAAATGGGCATTTGGTGACATTGACCTCTTATCAGCAGGAATTGATGATTGTAACAAACACACCATAGATATCCATTGTCCTCTGTTTAGGGAATCGCCAACAAACATCAGCCTTTTATTTCTCAACTTCTCCCACATTTCAGCCACATTCCATCTGTTTGAAAAAGAACTCAATAAACCTTAACAGAATGTACTTGTCACAGTATTAATTACATTTTCCACATCCTAACTCAAATACTTCAATAGACAGCACAAAGATTAAGTTCTGCTTGAACTCTACGTATTCATACTTAGTCCTCCATTAAGTACTTTAAAAATGTTATAACCTTAATTAAACCTTCTATTTTGGGCATTCAATCTAATGCCACCAAAGTAGCATAGATTATGCATAAATAGAAAACCATGTCAAGGGGGAAGCGAGATCCTAAATGCCCAAATAGTTTGCCCTTGTAATAAAAATCCTAACTAATAATAGCAGCGGGTTGTTGGGGGTGGGGGAAGCTAAGAAAAAGAAGCACCTCTTCAAATTACAGTTATGTGGTTGCCATCTCCAGTATTGGTACCCCAAATCCGACCGTCCATGCCTGTGGCAAGCCAATTGGTCCGACATGTAAGGACAATCCGATTCATTGTATAGCGGGTACGAAGTATTGTCATAAACCCATTTCCCGAGAAGATGTCACAGCCTTCGAGATTCTCTCTCCGGCTGCTGGAATGCTGGGAAGGGTCTGCCCACGAAATTTTCGGGCACTGTACTCTTGGTGGAGTTGCACCTACTGAATCTATCCAGAATCCCTAAAATCCAACCAGACCAACTTCAAAATCCAAGCTAAAAGAAGCAAAAATAAATAAATAAATAAATAAAAAAAGGCAAGGAAATGGACGAAAAATCCCGAAGTCTTGAGTGAACAACCATACCTGAATCACGGTTGAGGTAAGCAGGAAGATTGGGTTTGACATAAGTGAATGGAGAAGCTTCTTGGTGATTATGAACATGATCGGGGTTTTCATGAATTTGAAGTATACTATTTTCACTGTGGAGGAAGGTTGTGATGACTAAGAAGATTAGGAAGGAGAGCACCAGCAAAGGAAAATGGGCCTTCTTTCTGTTCCACCTCTGCATGATGAGGACGATGGTGATTCACATATGAAAGAAAGGAAGGAACGAGATCGTGGTGAAGGCTAAAGTTTGACCAAGTAGACCAGTGAAAGGACCGCGAACTGGCTTAGGATTTGTTCCTAAATTTGGGATCCGTTATTATTAAGCGTAATGAGCATGATGGGGTGCTTTACTCTTGTTGGAAACCCCAAAAAGGCCCTTCGCTTCATTAGTAACCACCACTCTTCCATTTTCCTCCTGCCTTAACCACTTCTGTCGGGAATAATTTAGTTTGATCATATCTTGCTCATTAATTTGTCTTTCATTAAATTATTATGAAATTAATATTATTGTATATGTTTACACAGTAGTTGAATAAATAATTTGGTGGTCTGGTAAGCTTGGCGTCAATCATATTAAATTGGATGTAATTTTTTTGCTTTTTCTTTTTTTTTTTGGGGATGGGGGTAAATTGAGCAACCAAGTTGAACATGGTTACAGATAACAGAATATTAATTGAAGAGGAAAGTGAATGATGTGGAAGTTTACTGTGATTGTGTGGAAGCCATCTACATCTTGACAAGGTAGCAGTACCTTAATCATGCTTCCCAAGACATCATACAAAAAATCTCTGATATTATTTGTAAGATTTAATTTTGTGTAAAAGGAAGTTAAATTGTATTGGTAACAGTTTAGCTAAGAAAGCTCATAACTTTACAAATTACTTTTGTATCTTTGATATTCTTATTCTTTATAAGGAGGCAGCTAATGATGAAATATGATCTTGTAAGTCTCTTTGACAACCTTATTGCACTCAAAACCATTGTTATCCCTGTGCGTTGAGGACAAGAGAGTATACTGTATTCTTTTGGTTTTAATTATCGGACAAAATTTTAAAGACACATAATTAAAAGTTAAATTTTTTATAAGTTTAAGAATATAACCATCATTTTTGAGAACTTTTTATGAGTGACTTTGCCACATAATTAAATATGGAGGGAATGCATGACAATTGGTACATTGGGGAGTTCTTGTTATTATTTTTTTTCTTTTTTTAGTTTTTTAATAAATGAGAGTTACCGGGTATCAAAAGGTGCTTGGAGCAAGATTAGGAAATTGTCAAAGTGATGACTTTCTAGGGAAGCAGAGATGAAAGAAATGAGGCTGACGGAAGCATGTTCAAACTCTGCCTTACGGTTGGTAGGACCTCACTGTTCAAAGCTGTATTTGTCTCATTTGCTCTTCTGGGCACCGAAGACTCCTATTTTGATTAAGCATTCCCCACTTATATCGTTTTTGAAGCTACACCGTAACCTCTTCTTATGAATTTCAATTCTTCGGGATACCATGGAATTTCAAACAACATCATGATTATGACTTTTCTTCAAATAATATGAAACACGCCTAGGGGATTTTTACTTTTTTTATTTTCCAGGAGCAATGCCTTCACCTCCTGAGCAACCTCCATGATTCTGGACCCTTATCAACTAGATAACCAAAAACCACAATTAACAAAAAAAAAAAACTTTATATAACATTTTGAGGATTAGGAGACTTACAATATTGTTTACACTTCCGCCCCCTTCCCAGACCAAAAATGACAAAAAAAAAAAAAGGAAAAAGGAAAAACTCAGACACTCGACAGTAGAATATGCGCACTAACATAATCCAGTCATTCAAGAATGTGTACACATGTGTTACCTAGAATGTGTCTGGAAATATTTGTGTCATTGAGGAAGAAGATGGGCATAGAGGAGGTGATTCCAGACATCAGAACTCCAGGGAGGCACCAGTGAATGCAATCTGCATAAGTAATTGGATTAGCCATTTGTTGTGGAGTCAAAGGCTCCCACTGCTTCCTGTAGATGGAAGGGTGGCCTTCTTTTCTGTACTCTGAGAGCTGTGTGATGTTCAGCATCTCAACATTTATGCCTCTTCCTCTCAGATCTTCCAGCACTCTCTCAACCACTCTCATCATTCTTGGTTCTGATCCACTCCCACTGAATCCCTCTTTCTCTATCATTCTTTCTTCTCTGTAACAGTTCTCATCCTCCTGTCTCCTCCCCACTCCTCTGCCCTGAAATTGTTACATTTCATCCATGCAATGGGATGTTAGAAAATGGGCGGGCAGGGAAAGGCCCAATGGGCCCATCTCATTCATAAGTACCGAAGTGAATGAAGTACATATAGATCAAAAGGATGAAAAGGAAAGGTACGTTTGATGCGTTGGTGACATGCTGACAAAGAACAATTTGGTCTTGTTATGATTGACGTGAACCTCCAACCATCAGACCAAGTCCTCAGTGCCATTTCATACACCCTCACCATCCCCACTCCTTTGTAAATCCCATCTGGGTCATCGAATGAGCCCCACCTGCCCCATCAATTGCCCCGCGTGCAGAAAAAGAAAACGTTTGAATTAAGTGAGTTGCGGAGTAGGGATGCAAAATCAGGGATCATCAAAGAGAGTGATATGATAGTTAGATGAATAAATAAGCAATGCATGTTGGCACTTACAGGACATTCATAACAGGTCTCTTCCACCAGAGGTAAGTGTTGAAAACCAGAATGTCAGCATCAGTCCAGTACCTGGCATGCTTTTCAATGGCCTTCACTCTCACAATCCGATCCGGTACCCGGGTGATGACCGATCATCCGAGTTCGATTCCACCAGCAGGGGAGCCCAGTAGAACTCTATGGTGGCATTGTATTCCTTGTGTATGTTTCCAATTAAGTGGCCATTCATTAGAACCATGAACAATATATATATATTATAATATATAAACTTCACAGGAATTGTCACAAGAATGAAGCTAAGGCTGCCATACTTTGGCCCTGAAAATGCTGAGCGAACCATTGGCGATGGTGCGCATGGATTTGAGGGATGAAGGGATGGCAGCGTCAACAAGGCAAACCACGGAAACCCATTGGCCTCTGTTGAGGGAATCCCCCACACGAGCCTCTTGTTCCTTAGCCTTTCAAGCAGTGCTGTGGCATTGAACCTTATTAACATAGAAACGACAACATTCCACAAACCTCAAAACATCATCAACGTACGTACCCTTCATTCCTTCTACACTCCATTTTTTGTGGCGACACACCACAAGAAACTTCCAACAAAATTTGCCAGGAACTTGAGTGTTTCATCCGAGTAAAACATACGAGTATTTCTTAATTGTTTTTAATATTGTTTAAAAACTTATATAAATATATTTGCCACAAAATTGAATCTATTTAAACTTGATGAGTAATTTCAACATTATAATGCGGGTCAAAAACCATTACTATATGCAAAACAATGAAATGTAATTATTAAAGGATGTGGTATATATTGAGTGGAAGGCATGTGAAGCTGAGAGCGAGGGAGGAGGGAGACCTGGGTAGGTCACACTGGTGGGGCTGCCATCTCCAATATTGATAGCTCAAGTCCTCTCTGCCAAACTTCTCGCAGGCCACTGATCCGACATGAACGTGCATTGTTCCTCTTTGTAAAGTGGGTAAGATTCGTTGTCGAAAACCCACTTCCCAGAGAAGAAGTCGCACTTTGATGATGAAGATGATGATGATGATAAGACAGTCTCTTGTGTGTTGGACAGCCATGTTAATCCTCCTTCCTGTGTCATAGAAATGGCTGTCACGACGAGAACAGTGGCGAGAATGGCCACAAGAGAATGGAAGGTGTTTCTGATTCCCCATGAACTCCTACCACCACTACTTGCGGCGGCGGCGGTGTCTTTGCCATTTCGATTCTGATTCTTCTCTGTCTCTGAAGCTGACCCTCCCCCTTTAACAAGCTTCTTTTCCTACGGTAGTTGGCGGCAACACAGAAAAATCAAGGCTCTTATGTTTTCCATATCAGCCCACTTGCGCATAGTAGGTACATCATGATGCATTTAGACGTTTCCTCCTGCTGCTTGCAAACCACAATTTATTTTCTCTGTATTTCACACAAATATATATATATATATATATCCAATTCACCCTATTCAACTTCTGAAATTCAATATATAGTTAATTTTTCAAATGCATATGTATATAAACTACATCGATCGACATTCTATTTTTAAGGCGTAGTCACTCATGTGGAACACAGGTATTTAAAAGTCACATGTTTAACGATTATTGTTGAAGTCGCTCATGGATCATGGGCAAGACTTTTGTTTTCTTAGTTAAAATCTGTTGGTCAAGTACGCATACATGACGAAATAAATAATATATGCCACGATGCTATGTATTTATATATATATATATATATATATATGGAGTTTCAAATTAACTTTGGTTTCGGCATGACTGAGAAGGGACATTTAATTTAAGAAACCCCCCCCCCCCAATTAGGTTGTGTTATTGACGTTTCCGCAACCGAGTACATTGCTTCAAGAAAGCTCAACGCCCGTCTTCCTCAACCCCCCCTTCTCCCCCATAAATATGTAATATGTAATATGTAATAATTAATATTCTTTTTGTTGGATTTTCTGTGTGGATTTTATAAATAATGTTTTGTTTACTAAAACTCATTTGATATAATTTATGAGCTTGTAATCTCATATTCTGTTATTCCTCTTACATTAGACTTAACCTTTTAATGCCATTATGCCGACGAGTTCATACATATACATGCAATAGTTTTTGTGTGAATTATAGGGATACATTCACTTTCGTCCTATTGTACATGTGGAACGAGGAATAAACATACTTTGATTTGATTATCTGTTAGCTTCTTGTCTTCTATACAAACAATAACATCAAGACAATACTAAATACATACTACTACATACATATATATATATATATATATATAGCAGCTTGTGCTAATGGAGACTCGGGAGGGGATCCTCTCATTCTCCGTTCTCTTCTAACTATTGGATCAAAATTTAATGGTTGAGATTTAATATTTTATAAAAACATTATTATAATTTTACATAAAAATATCTAGATAAATTTAATAGTATAATTAAAATATGCATTTTTCTTTCTATAATTTCCTTTGAGAAGCGTTGAACACCATATGCTAATAAGTGTGGCATTTTTTTTCGAACCATTTTGTTGAGAAAAAATCTCCTGTCATAAGTGATCCATGAACTCTACCACTTTCTATCGACATGGTATATCCTTTAGTATTAATTTGTCTATAAACTCTTTTTCTATGAATGTTAGGCATTTGAAGTTTGGTTAAAATAAAATTTAATAAATATGTTAAAATATTTAATATTGATTAAGTATTTTAAATTTTTAGGCCATTTTTTATAATTTTTTATCAACTAATAATCAAATTAACGGATGTTTAAAATTGTAGTGTCACTTATTCTTAATTGATATTTTTATAATATGAAATATATTTTCAATTTTAAAACTGAAAAAAATGAGTAATTCAACAAGACAATATTAATTTTATCCTTTTTTTGGAGGTTCATTCCCTTCTTTTTAATACAAAGTTATAAAATATTAAAATATTAAATTTAAATTATGCAATTTTTGAAAAAAAAAAATGTTAGTTGACAAAAAAAATTATAGAGGATGACCTAAAAGATATCTAAAAGGACTTAATCATTATCAATTTTCTTATAAGATCATTTTCTATGTTTATTTAAAAATATTATTGTTATTATTATTAGGGTTAAACTGTATTTCCTCCCTGTATTTCTGTTCAAAGAGTGTTGAATATCTTGTATTAATAAGTGAGGTATTTTATCTCTCTGAATCCTTTCTTACAGGAGCAAAAACCCTCCTCCATTAACAGATCACTAATGGGGGGATTTCGTCTTTTCAGAAAAATTGTTTAGGAAAAAAAAACCCCACTTTTCAAAATAATCCCTTACACTGTAATTTGAGGTTTTTTAGCCGACGAAGTTCTCTTAGCTCATGGAACAGCCCACGACATCAGCACAATCCCCTCCTCCGGCTATTGCCGCTATGTCGTCTTTGCCTCCCATCGTTTGGGGTCCATTCCATTGTTTGCCAAAATTTTGAGATGACGAAGAAGAAGAAGAATGAGGAGTAATGAGAGAACAATGACACGCTGCAGCAATGGTTAATGCTTAATCAGCAAGGGAAAACCAGACGACAAAAGTCAGCTGAAAATTTCTATGGTCAAAGTTACATTTTAACAGTCAACTAATATATAATCTAATATTTAACAGCAAAGCAACATTAATTACACTGTTTTAAAAAGTCTTGGAATGTCATTGCTCAAAATAATAATTAAAATACTAGATATTTTTGAGGAAAAGTTGTAGGATGTTTTTGTCTTTTTGTCTAATGTCAAATGCTGAAATTTAAATTCAATGACAGGGATGACAAGAGTCGAGGAGAAGCCGGTCACAGGCTCATGAAACATCAGAAGGAGGGAGAAAGGTGGCGTGAGAGGTGAGAGAGAGAAAGGGGGAGTCCACCTTAGTCAAGTCAAAACTAACAAAAAAGAAAAAGAGAATGCACGAGAATTTCATTTTGTGAAGATGAAGCATCTCTTTCGCCCTCTCATTCTCTGCTCATCTTCTTCCCACTTGCTCCCCCAACTTGCATCCCCCTCCCACGCTCCTTCTTCAATCTTTCCCCACCAAATGTCACCCCCACTTGCCCCCTCCCTCGTTTAATTTCATTTCTCATTATACAAATGAGTACTCAAAACCTATCACTCCTAAACCGTTTCCATCTAATTTTTATAATTTAAATTTATAGTTTTTAAACAGGAGTTTTTAAATTTTGTATCCATTAAAATAATTTTTTTAAAAAAAATAAAAAATAAAAATTTTAAATCTAGATCATTCAAATTAAATCTGAACAACCCAAAAGTGATAAGATCTTTTCATTTTTATTGTTTACATGTATTCTCTTTTTCATTTTTAAAAAAACAAAACAAATGAAAGTAGCAAGTTAAAAGCACTGAAACTCCCTAATTCTCTTTTCATATATTTTCATATGGGTACTATCATTCCTGACATAGTTAGACATGAAATGTAGGCATATTTTTTAATGATGATTTAAATATTGGTTTGACGTGAAGAATTAGCTCCTCGCAAATACAAAATCACACTTTTTTTAAATTATAAATCCATGAACCATCAATTTCCACAAAAAAAAAATCAAAACAAATGAAAATAGCAAGCTACAGCTTTTAACTTCTTAAGAAGCAAAACTTCTCTACAAGTCAAGTAAATTGAACAAACAATTCAACATATAATCCTTCAATTTCAAAAATATAAAACATTTTTTAAAAAGTGTATTTAAAAAATGTAAAGTATTTTTAGTCTTTCAAAATTATAATTATTGTTTTTTTTTAAAGTGTCTCTATTGATAATGACTTTGTATTTATTATAGACTATCTAATAAAAGTAAATATAAAAAATAGGGTTAATTAAAAAAGCAGATAAATTTTTTATTGAGGGGTGAGATTTAATTAAAATTGTTTTTATATTTTTAAATAAGAGGAAACATAATATATATCTTATATAGATAGATAGATAGAGAGAGAGAGAGAGAGATGGGGGTGTCTAACCCCACCTTCCGTAACTCTTTCCTATCGATCCCCTTTACTCATTTCTGTATTTCCCACTTTTGGCTCTTCTTCACAGTTCTCTTATTATTTGTTTTTTTACTGCTACAAAAATAAGAGGAAAGTTCAGAGTGCTGCCTCTTTAATATAATATATATATATATATATTTATAATAATACTGCAACTTGCATGTCACTTTTTTTCCCTTTCATGTGCATCCAGAAATTATTTAATTATTCACAAAAAGGTCTCGGTACAGCTTATCACAGCTAGCTATTACCAGAGACTCATGTTCCCTCCTCCTCAGGCTACCCCTCACCTTATTTTATCATCCCCAAATTAAAACTCTATTTTCTCTTTCATTTCTTTCTTTCTTTTTAAATGCTATATATTTTCTCTTTTGTAATTTCATCCATCCATTTCCTTGCTTCGTAAACAAATACCAATATATCCATAACATTCAGTATTCTTCTATCTGTCAATGCTCATACATGAATATTGCATCAATTAAAAATACACTTTTAAAACTGATTAAAATTTAAGATAAAAAAAATTCAGGACTAAAAAAAATTACAACGTTGTATAGATTTACGTGACAATGAATGGACTACCATAGCTTCAGCAACTCTTTTTTTTTCTTTTTAATTAAACTAGCTAGTGATGCCCGCACACATATAATTCACTCAATTATCATATGCATTGCAGGGTGAAGCGTGATCTCACTTCATGCAAGCTAAGACAACTCAAAAACTAGACAGCTAGAGTTGACCCCAAACCCCAAAAAAAAAAAACAAAAGAAAAAAACCTAGACAGCCAGCCATGTCCAAGAAGCCAACTTGCTATCTTCGTAATCGGTAAGCCACAAAACAAGGCGGTGCCCTATTTCAAGAATACAGAAACATAATAAAATACTATTGAACTTCTAATATTCGGAAAATATCTCAATAAAAAAAAAGAACAAAGAACAATTACGAAGAACAATTTGCTAATGGTGGATGTCGTTTAGTCGTCTGGCCAGGTCCTCGGCCTTTTGCGCCAGTGACTGTAGGTTGCACCGGACGATCGTGTCCGCGAACACGCACGTGTCCTCCTTCGTGTTCCCCTGCGGCACGTCCACCACGTACGACTCCACCACCACCGTGCCCTCGCCGTCGCCGGAGGGGTGAAGCGTCGTCACGGAGCGGTAGTTGGACAGCCTGTGCTCCCCGCCGACGACGCTGAAGCTGAGAACGTGGCGCTCGTCGTCGAGGATCTCAAGACGCTCCGTGCTGTTGGCTGCGGGAAGGCCGGATATGACGTGGACCTCGCGGAGGGTGCCGACGTCGCCGTCTCCGACGAGGACGTGGCAGCTCTTGACGAAGTGTTTGTAAGCCTGGGGGTTATCGAAGCGGCGCACGACGGACCAGACGGTGGGAACCGGGGCGATGATGTTCTGCGTGACGGCGGAGCAGCACTGGTTGGGAGAAATGGCGTGGGTATGGTAGCGAGCCACCTGGTCGGGTATGGTGGCGGTGGAAGAAGCGGCGAGAGGATCGTCCCAGAGGCGGCGGTGGGGGACGGCGGAGGCCTCGTGGTCGATTCTGTGAAGGAGAAAAGAAGATTTAGGAGGCATTTTCGACAATGAAGATTTGCGCGTGTGAATTTGGAGGGTGTGGGGGGATTCGGTGGTTACGCGGTGAGTTATAGAGCAATGGTAAGATCAGAAGGAAGGAAGGGGAAGAAGGTGGTAATGATGGGGGGTGGACTTTGGAAAGATGGAAAGGTTAACGAAGTTCTTGTGGGCTGATACAGTTAGGGCCAAGTTGCTCGCTATGAATTCACCAAAATGGCCTTTCTTTGACCATTCCGAAATACCACTTCGCCCCTGTCAAGTGTCACCTACCCGCGTGCATGCTTACTTCAAACTTCTCAGTATATTTGATTTGAAAGAAACATTCCACTGCCTCAGAATTCATTATTTCGGTACTGATACAAATTTTTCTTGAAATATTTCTGAGAAACACTCAATATTTTAACGTATTTGTTGAAACATTTTTACTTATAAAATAATTAAATCAGGGCAGCTTTTACCTTGCCATTATAAACTCCCAAAAAGCGTTCATTAAGTTAGAGTTTAACCTAAGTCAAATTTTTTTAACAAACATTCTGAAAATCTAATGACAAGGTAGAAGATGTCCCAGTTTGATTCCTTTAAAGAAAAAATCCTCAAATAAATACTTTCAAATACTGGATATTTCTTAAAAAATATTTTAAAAATAAAAATACGCATTTATTCTTCATTATTTTGGTAGGCTTGCACAGTCTGGTAAATAACAAGTTAATTTCATCTATGGGTGCCAAATTGTCAGACAACTTGTGAGGTCAACTTGTCAAATCACAATTTTTGAACCTTATAAGGCGGTTGTCATAGAAACTTTTCACAATGGTGGGATATATGATTTATCCAAATATAACTGAATTTGTTTCTTATAAAAACAAATTTTCTTTTACTACCCCCTCACAAATACTTCAAAAATATTGTTTTGCCAATAAAAGTTGGATTTATTCAAAAAGGTAGTTTCTACAAATCAAAATTTAAATTCTTACTATGAGTTATGCTTTTTTTTAATGCTTAATCATACCTCATACAAAATTTTCCCCAATAACAAAACACATGTACATAATAAAAAAATAATTAGTATCAATTTTGTTATAGTGTTGTCTGTAATTTTTTAGATCCTTTTACACAATCCTAGAGTTTTTTTTTTGTAAATTTTAATCAACTAATGATTAAAATTAATATTTATTGATAAAAGTATAACGTTATATCATTTTTAAATATTGAAAGGGGATAATGTATTAAAAAAATTTAGAGTTTTTAATTTCACACTCATGGACTCATAGATTTATAGTTGAAAAATAAAATTATCCTTTAACCTAACTGAAATTATGATAATATTTTCAACAAATTCATCATCAAAACTCGTTTTTAGTGTTTTAGGAGAGGTTCAAATCAAGAAATTTGAGGTCTCTTCATTTTTTATTTTTTTCATTTCTCTCATTTCCACCATTCATTAATTTAATTATTTAAAAAAATTATTTAATAAAATAATTTAAATAATAGAAATTAAAACAATAAAAAAAAAAAAATAGAGAGACCCTTCCCCAAGTCAGGGCCTTAGTCTTTTTTTAAAAAAAAAAAAAGTCGTTTGTTGAAAAGCAAAAAGCGGGCGGCGGGGGTATTAATGGGAATAGCGAAGAGTAGAGAAATGAAAGGTGAATGGCAGTTTAGTAAATATGAGGGCACAGAAAGGCAAGAGTGCATCCAAAGAAGGATCAACTTGCAACGAGATGATGACATCCTCTCCATCCTCATTTAATCACAATGCTGAATGCTCACAACATGGACGCCTCTTCTTTTATGATTTCCTTCCCTGCACCTTCCAATGACTTGTATTAATTATTCATGAATTTTATAAAATGGTCTTATATTTATCACTCATTTCACTCTCTGCCGTCACATGCATCCATCAAAATGGGGGACCACGCACAAAAGAAATCAACCAAAATTAAGAGTTGCTTCTGTTTGGAAGCGAGTGAAAGGATAGCTTAACTTCTTGAGAGACTCAATAAAATTAGTTTTGTTTAGTTTCTTAGAAACATATAATTTCCTGAAAAAGCTTTTTTCCCCTTTTGCCTAAATTTTGAAGGTAACTACGGTTCCCACTTCCCAGCTTTTTTTTTTATTAAGAGTAACTAATATGTGTAATAATTTAAATAAATAATAATATATAAGTTAAATTATAAACTTACATTGTTATTACAGAAAAATAACTTTTAAATTAAAGAAATTGATTTTTTAATAATAATAATAATAATAGGTTAAATGTAATAATGATTTAAAAATATCCCTGTAACTTCTCCACATAATGAATTTAAAAACTAAATATTTTTTATAAAAATATATTTAAATTAAGATTTTATAATTAAATTTAAATTTTTGAATAAGAAGTTAGAAATTATAATAATGGATAGGATTATGGGAGGGAAGATTTAAGGAGAAAAGTAGTTTCACAGTTTTAGAGATACTGTTGTTATTATTTTTAGAGATGAAAAGAAGTTGTTTTTACGATAGAGACAAGAATGTTGAATTATGAAATTTGGAGAGAATATTACTTATCATGATTTTCTATTTAAATTCAAGAATTCAGGTAAATCAATGCTGCCACTTAGAGAGTTAAAGTCATAATTTCATGACTTATGTATTGCCCATTACATTGAAATTTAAGAAAAGACTGCAAGACTAAATATAGACATAAAATTATGACTAAATATTGCTAGTTACCTTTCTGTTGTGATTATTTGTGGAACAAAATATTGACTACGCTTGCTATATCATAGTATATATATCTTTAATATCTTCGAACATTTTAAAGAAAGTATCAAAACATCACTGTATTTGCATTCATCACACATACACACATATTTGAGGATAAATATGATATTTTCATTTGTATATATAAGGTATTTAATAAGCACACATACATAAGACAATCTCATAACTAGTCAATCAATAATTTACACTATAAAGCATTCATGAGTTCCAAAGTTTGCAATCCACACACCATTTTCCCTTGTTTTTGCTACCTTTGTTCATATATCTCCTTAAATTATGTTCCTGATAAACATATGAAGAGATTATGCCTACACTAGTATAAAATAAGCTTATAAGAATGCTTTTTTTTTAACCTTAGAAAAGCGCTCCCATATTAAGTGCTTCGAAATATACCATAGCGCTTTACATATGTTTTAAATGCATGAACTCTTTTCAAAAAGCGTTCCCATATGTATAAAAATAAAAAAAGCATTAGAAATGGCCTACGAAAGCGCTCTCATAAGGGTGACCAAACGGGAGCGCTCTTGTAAAAGATTTACTATTATTGAAAGAATTTTTAACAATAATTATTTTAAACTTTTTACATTGGTTATTAGGAGAAAGTAAAATAAATGAAAGTAAAAAGTTGCCTTTTTATGTCAGTTGTTTAACCAACATGGAAAAGACTTTCCACAACAGTTATTTCCTTTTAATTGTTGTAGAAAGTTTTTTTACAATAGTTTTCTGCATAACTATTGTTAAAAGTATATTTTTTTTATTTTTTTATATATCCATAATCCATAATTTAAAACCTATAAATTGTATAGATTACACAACACATAAACATTCAGCCAACAGAATTACAATGACTATATAACAAGTTACAACTATACTAAATATACATAATTAATCCAATATCAATAGCAATGTTAACTAAGCAACCAAACAATTTAAATACCCAATTTCATTTATACAAATACCTAATAACTATCATAAAATATAAATTTGAAAATTAAAATAAAGATTTGAAGGCACAAATTCATCTATTAAAATACCTAACTATACAAATATTCAGTTAAATCAACTATTTATAGTACCAATAAGCAATAAAAATTGACAAAAATAAATAAAAATAAAGATTTATGGTAGATTTTGCAAAAATTCTCTAATAAAAGAGGAAAATGGAAGAAGATGAGTAGCACCCACACTTGTAAGTTGAAATGGCAAGGCGAGGAGAAAAGTGAAAGGTTTGAGTGAGAAAGAAAAAAGAGAGAAGATAAGAGTTTACTCACAGATTTGAAAAAGTTGAAAAAAATGTATTTGAAGAGTCGTTCAACCAAACAATGGAAGAGGAAAAAGATGAAAGAACCTAAAGAGAAAATGTATTTGAAGAAGATTATCAACAATTGAAGAAAGAAGGAAAGAAAATGGAGAAAAAGACCTCCAGAATGAAACCTACTAACCTCTAAAGTACTCAAAATAGCGAATGACAATGAATAGAGAATGGCCGACGGCAACAAATTGACAAAGAATGGCATGAGTTGACGCAACTATGATGAAAGGTCAAACCTTTTCGACATCTTATGGATGTGAGAGAGTTGTTTTTTAAAACACAAAATGGTATGTTGAATTAGTTAAACTGATATTGTTTCATACTTGTTATGTTAGTTTATATAAAAAATTGATGTAAAAAGTGCATATTTTTTAGTCTTTTTTTGTTTTTGAAAGTTTTCCATGTCTTTTTCCTATATAATCAATGTGAAAAAACTTTTTTTTGTCAGTTGTTTGTCTAACCAACATTAAAAATCTTATATATAATTACATTTATGTCAGCATCTTTTTTTATTATGGTTTTTTTATAAACCTAACATTAATTAGCAACATAAAAAGCTTATTTTTCAGTAGTGATTCTCATCATGCATGTTCAACATCAACAAATCCAGTAAAATTATTTTTTACCTTAAGGGAAAAGAAGTGGCTTTTAAAATAATTAAGATAATTGATAACATCATGCTTTTAAGATAAAGTTTGAGTAGAAGAGAAAGAAGTATGAGATAGTTAAGAAATTATAAATATAAATTTATTAAAGTGTATATACGGAAATATAAATGTGGAGGCAGTAAATCACAAGCTTGTTTGATTCATTGTAAAATATAAAAATAGAATCATAAGCATAAGCTTGCATGGTTCATTGTAATATATCATTGATATTAAAAGTCAAATTTTAGTAACATCAAATATGCATGTTAGTTATAATATTCTTCCTGACATTATCAAGTTTATCTACAAATAATATAAAAAGATAAATAAATGTCCTTTAAACCTCTAAATTTCCTAAATTACAAATATTAAAAAAATAGAGAAATCAATTCTTTTAAAATAGTTGGGATCCAAAAACCCTCTCGAAAAACAGTTCAAACCTTTTTTCAAGATTAGGTG